TAGCCTCAGTCTCCCAGCTCACCTGCCCCCACCTGTCCGTGGCGTCTCCTTTCTGCCATCGCCTCTGGGTCTTAGCCTCCCCCCTCCTCTCCCATAGCCCTGGGGCCCCGGTCGGGCTCCCTGCTCTCCCTGCAGACAGAGCTCCTTCTGGACCTGGTGGCTGAGGCCCAGTCCCGCCGCCTAGAGGAACAGAGGGCCACCTTCCACACCCCCAAGGTCCCCAGGAGCCAAACCCCAACCCCACCCCGGCTTCTTGAGGACCAAGAACAGCTCTACAGCACCATTCTTAGTCACCAGGTAAGGCAAACATACCCCCCCACACTGCCGCTTGCATTGTTTCAGCCCTAACTTAGTCTTTTTATTATTATTATTATTATTATTATTATTATTATTATTATTATTGGGGTTTTTTTTCGAGACAGGGTTTCTCTGTGTAGCTTTGGAGCCTGTCCTGTCTCTCGCTCTGGAGACCAGGCTGGCCTCGAACTCACAGAGATCCTCCTGCCTCTGCCTCCCGAGTGCTGGGATTAAAGGCGTCGGCCACCAACGAAGTTAGGCTTCAGCCCTAACTTCTTCCTCCCCAAAACATATGTCTCTTGGCCAGCCTCTGCTCCCCTCAACACCTACTGCCCTAGACCAACCCTGGCCCTCTTACCCAAAGCCACCACCGACCACCAAGGCTCTCCTCTCCCTCTGCATGTCTAGTGCCAGCGGATGGAAGCCCAGCGGTCAGAGCCGCCCCTGCCCCCCGGGGGACAGGAGCTCCTGGAGTTGCTGCTGAGAGTTCAGGGTGGAGGGCGAATGGAGGAGCAAAGATCCCGGCCCCCTACACACACCTGCTGAGACCTGAGCTCCCAACCAGCCCCTTCTCTCAGGGACTCAAAGCTGGGCCACCCCCGCAAGCCTTCAACCCTGCGTGGCAGGGGTGCCAGAGACTGAAGACCCATTTTCCCAGGGAACTGGACAGGGGGCAAGTACCCTAACCTTGAAAACGAGCAAGGTAGGGTGGACACGACTCCCCAAGACCGTTCAAGAGTCTCTATCCTGAGCTGTCAAGCTACTCAACGGGGTGTGAGGACTGAGGCCTGCCCCTCCTGCCTAGCAAGAAAAAGGGGAAAGATTAAGACAACCGCCCAGCACTGGCACCCCAAGCCCCAAGGCCGAGGAGCCCAGAGGCCCTGAAGCGAACCTCAGCCCCACCCACACCCCCTGCTGCTGCTGCTGCTGAGTCTGCCCGATGTGTTGGTTGTGTGAATAAACTTAATTCCCCTCTGCACTGAAGACTGGTATCTGGGGGTGGGTGGCTGGGTGTGCAAGGTGGGTCAGCCGGCGGCCAGCCGCTCTCCGCGAGCTGGCCGGAGGCCAAGTCCCCTCCCTGGCTGGTTAATTACTGGCTCATTAAGCAGCGGCTGGAGACCTCCCTAATCATCCCCCCAGCCCCCAGTCTCCCGGTTTTAATTAAGTCGAACAGGGAGGGGAGTCATTAGAACAAGAAATATGAACCGAGCCGTCGGAGAGCAT